TGGAATGGGCACGTATATGAATCTCTTTCAGTCAATTGGCCAGGTAGCCATCTTCCAAATCTCTTGGCATAACTGACTTAGTGCCTCCAATGGGACATCCATTTGCTGAAACATCTCAATGGGTATTCCATCAATTCCTAGAGCCTTGTTTTTTGCTAATTCCTTCAGTGAAGCTTCAACTTCTTCCTTCAGTACCATTGGTTCTTGATCATATGCCACCTCTTGACAAGGATGAAGATATACCAGTTCTTTTTGGTACAGTGATTCTGTGTATTCCTTCCATTTTCTTTTGATGTTTCCTGCATCATTCAATATCTTGCCCATAGAATCTTACAATATTGCAACTTGTGGCTTAAATTTTTCCTTAGTTCTTTCATCTTGAGTGATACCAAGTGTGTTCTTTCCTTTTGGTTTTCTAACTCCAGGTCTTCTCACATTTCATTATAGTAATTGGCTTTGCTAGAGCTGCTCTTTGAAATCTTCTCTTCAGCTCTTTTATCTTGTCATTTCTTCCATTTGCTTTAGCTACTCTCTAATCAAGGGCAGGGAGCTCTGGTAGGATAGTGGCTAAGGCACTTGGCTGCTAACCAGAAGGCTGGTGGTTCAAACCCACCAGCCACTCCTTGGAAGGAAGATGGGGCAATCTACTTCCGTAGTGATACTGCCTCAGAAACCTAAGGAGGGGTCACTATGAGTCGGGTCCAACTCGATGGCATATAGCAACAACAACATTCAACGGCAAGTTTCAAAGTCTCTTCTGACATCCAATTTTGTCTTTTCTTCTTTCTTTTTAATGACCCCTTTCTTTCTTCATGGATGTTGTTCTTGATGTCATCCCACAATTCTTCTAGTTTTTGGCCATTGGTGTTCAATTCATCAAATTTATTCTTTAGATGGTCTCTAAATTCAGGAGGGATATATTACAGGTCATATTTTGTCTCTTGTGGACTTATTTTAATTGTCTTCAACTTCAAATTTAACTTGCATATGAGCAATCAGGACCTGGGCTTATTTTGGCTGAAGATATTGAGCTTCTCCATTGCCTCTTGCCACAGATGTAGTCAATCTGACTCCTGTGTACTCCAGCTGGTGAAGTCCATGTGTATAGCCATCAATCATTTTGTTGAAAAAAGGTATTTTCAATGAATAATATGTTGGTCTTGCAATATTCTATCATGTGATCTGCACCATTATTTATATCACTAAGTTCAACCTTTTCAACTACCGGTGATTATTCTTTGTTTCCAACTTTTGCATTCCAGTCATCAGTGATAATTAACACAACTTGATTGCATATTCAGTCAATTTCAGACTGCAGAAGTTGATAGAAATCTTTAATTCCCTCATCTTTGGCTTTGGTGAGTGGTGCACAAATTTGAATAATAGTTGTATTAATTGGTCTTCCTTGTAGGCGTATGGATATTATCCTATTACTAACAGTATTGTACGTCAGGACAGATCTTGAAAAATCCTTTGTGATGATGAATGCCACACCATTCCTCTTCAAATTGTCATTCCCGGCATATTAGATTATATGGTTATCTGTTCCAAATGGCCAAAACCAGTCCATTTCATCTCACTAATGCCTAGGATATCAATCTGTATGCATTCCATTTCATTTATGACAACTTCCTGTTTTCCTAGATTCATACTTCCTACATTCCATGTTCCTATTATTAGTGTATGTTTGCAGCTGTTTCTTCTCAATTTGAGTCATGCCATATCAGCAAATGGAGGTCTCCAAAGCTTTATTTTATCCACCCCAGAAAGATTTGTTCTACTTTGATGATACAGCTCTTCCCTAGTCGTGTTTGAAAGTCTTCTGACCTAAGGGGTTTGTTCTCCTGCACTGTATCAGATACTGTTTCTGGGCTATTCATAAAGTTGCACAGTAATGTATCAGACAGTGTTTCTCTGCTATTCATAAGGTTTTCCCTCGTCAGTTTTTTGAGTAGTGGATGGCCTCTTCCTTCTTCCTAGTCTGTCTCAGTCCATAAGCTGCACTTGAAAAACCAGTGGCACAGCCTCAAGTCTCAAGCCTTACAGCAACACACAAGCCACAATAGTATGACAAGCTGACACACAAGTTTTTTTCACTTAGCTGTTCAAAACCTCTCTGCCCTCCCCTTACCTGGATCCCTGGCTGCTGCTCTGCTTTGTCATCCCCCCTGGCTTCTATTTCCCCTGTTTTCCTGGCTGGTGGGGGTAGAGCCTGGGTCTTTCCCTTTACTTGGATGCCTGGCTGCTGCTCTTCTGTGTAATCTCCCTGGCTTCTATTTCCCTTGCTTTTGACTATGTGGATCACAAAAATTATGGGAACATTGAGAAGAAGAGGAATTCCAGAACATTTACTTGTGCTTATACAATACCTGTAGATAGACAAAAAGGAAGTTGTTCAAACAGAACAAGGGAATACTGCATGGTTTGAAAACAAGAAAGATGTGCATCAGGTTATATCCTTCCATCAATTTATTCAATCTGTATGCTGAACAAATAATCCAAGTAGCTAGACTATATGAAGAAGAAACCCAGCATCAAGACTGGAAGAAGACTCATTAACAATCTTCAACTTGCAGATGATACAAACCTACTGAAAGTGAAGAGGACTTGAAACATTTGAAGAATGAATGAAGATCAAACATTACACCTTTCAATGTGGATTCTACCTTAATGTTAAGAAAACTAAAATCTTCACAACTGGACCAATCATGATGAATGACAAAATATTGAAGTTGTCAATGATTTCACTTTACTTGGGTAAACAATTAATACCCAAAGAAGCTGCAGCCAAGAAACGTCAAGAAATATCAACAATGTATTGCATTGAGCAAATCTGTTGTCAAAAACCTCTATAAAGCATTAAAAAGCAAATACATCATTTTGAGGATTAAAGTGTGCTTGAGACAAGCTATCCCATTTTTAATCATTAAAAATGCAAAATCTGGACAATGGATTAGGAAGACTGAAGAACTGATGGATTTGAATTATGGTAGTGGTGAGGATATTCAATATACCATAGATTCCAGAAGAATGAACAAATTTGTCTTGAAAGAAGTAGAGATAGAATGTTCCTTAAAAAGAATTATGGTGGAATTTCATCTCACATACTTTGGACATGTTACCAGAAGGGACCAGTCCCTAGAGAAGGACATCATGCTTGCTAAAGTATACAGTTAATGAAAAAGAGGAAGATACCCAATGAGATGAATTGATACAGTGGCTGCAACAATGAGCTCCAACACAGCAATGACGGTGTGGATGGTGCAAGATCAGGCAGTGTTTGCTCTGTTGTTCATCAGATTTCTATGAGTTAGAACCAACATGACAGTACCAAACAATAGCAACATCTTTAGTTAGCAAAGGCCTATTGATTTAGGTCTTTGTGTGCTTCCCATAAAGAGACTGATGGTGTATTCATTAAGGCATTTGGCTGTTAACTAAGAAGTGAGTGGTTCAAACCTACCAGTTGCTTTGTGGAAGAATGATTAGGCAATCTGCTTCCATAAAGATTTACAGCCTTGGAAATCCATAGGGTTCTTTTTTTTCTTTTTTTTTTTTCCTGGTGTTTCCCATGGATGTGAGTAAGAAGTGATATGAAACTGTAATTTCAGCATTGTTCACCACTAACAAAATACTCCAAGGTAAGTCTGTTGATAAGCTACCAATTAAATCTTTATGCCAAATGGTGATACATGTCTGCAGAATTTAGGAATCATACTGTTTAATGCCTTTTATAATTTTCCCCTGAGATCACATATGTCAATACTGCTAGGTTATTGTTGTTATATGCTGTTGAGTTGGACCCAACTCAAAGCGACCCCTCTTTGGGTTTCTGAGGCAGTATCACTACAGAAGTAGATTGCCCCATCTTCCTTCTGAGGAGTGGCTGGTGGGTTTGAACTGCCAGTCTTCTGGTTAGCAGTCAAGTGCCTTAGGCACTACACTACCAGAGCACCCATACTACTAGGATGATGTCTCTATTGTCATTTCAGGGTGAACTATAAACTCTATAAATTGTCTTGTTTTATGTGAGAATATTTTTATTCTATGAAAGCGAACCACATCTATCATGTTTCCCATAGCTGTGCTTTGGTACTAGTAAACTGATCAATCAGTTTGAGTTATAACTTATGGTTCTTTTAGAGACTGGATTAGAAGCAACGTAATATGTCAACTTTTAGAGCACTGACTAAAAGAACTTGCTGAAACACATAGACATAACTCTATCAAGCCCATCCACAGAAATATTCAGACACAGTCCCCTGGAGAAAATATTAACATCAAGTTTATTGACCTTCACCAAAATTTTCCTGCTTCAATGATGCTGAAAGATGGATTACAACTAGGAATTGGCTCCAATATTATAAAACATAAGGCCAAAGCAGAGAAACTACTTGCATAGACCTCTTTTCATGCTCTTTGTGAGAGGAAGGAGCACACTCAATGTGATAGGCTCTCATTATCAGAATATATGTGTCATAGAGTGACAACTAGGAGCCCATAAGGTGTCTTGCTCAGGATAGGTCCTAAATATTTGATGTGGACTCAGGCATGCATATTTATAAATGGACACTGCTTACTGAACAATTTATAGCCTTGAAAAACCAGTAAGTTTGCTATGAGTCTAAATAGACTCAATGGCAATGAGTTCTTTTTTTCTTTTAATTTTTCCTGGTGCCTTCCATGGATGTGAGTAAGAAGTGCTATGAAACTGTAATTTCAGCATTGTTTACCACTAACAAAATACTCCAAGGTAAGTCTGTTGATAAGATACCAATTAAATCTTTATGCCAAATAGTGACACATGTCTGCTGAATTTAGGAATCATACTCTTTGGTGCCTTGTACAATTTTTCCTTGAGATCACATAATGTAAACAAACATTATATGCAGCATTATTACCTAGCCTCCGAATATAAAAACATATTGAATTTTTGTGAAGAGACATTTATATAAAAAACAAAATACACAACACTCAACAGAAGGAAAAAATATACTTACACCGGAATAGAAAGGCTCACCAGACACACAAATCACATCCTGCTCCTGGATCATCAGAATGTCCTTGGCTAGGTGCAGGCGTACTTTGAAAGGTTCTTGATTACCATCCTGCAGCAAACAGATCCCCGTCTTTGTCTTTGGATTAAAAAAAAAAAAAAAAATCAAAGAAAAAGGGAAAAGTAAAATAGAGAAGAAAATTATACTTAACTTATAGTTTGTTGTAACTTTGGAAACTATTTACAGCAAAACATTACCAATATCATTTGAGAATTGAGGAAAAACACCCTGATTAATCTGAAAATTAATATAGAAGCAGGGAAAACAGATACCCATGTCAAGTAAAGTAGACCTCTCTGATAAAGTTCACAAACATTTGGTGAGTAAGGATTATTTATATTTTGTGTTCTACTTTAAAGCATAATGACAGCTTTGTTTAATATTTATAACACTATTATCATAACAGCTTTATTTACTCAGATATATTTTACATACTGTACAACTCACACATTTAAAGTGTACAATTCAATAATTTTAATATATTTCAGAGTTGAACAACCATGATCATAACCATTGTTATAACACTTATTAGCCCCAAAAGAAATTGTATCCCTCAGCCCTAGGTAACCACTAATCCAATTTCTTTCTATAACATACTGTTTTCAATAATTGAAAATACATCTACCTAACAGCTACTATAACATCTTCTATTTCACCACTTCTAGTCACCAATACATATAGACACTTTCTCACACACATACACACACACACACACATGCACATGTACATGCATGCAAACACATATACTGAGTGCAGATGTGGGAAGAGTTTAAGGAAGTGAAATGAACTACCTAAATTAGAAAATGAGTTATAAATAGGGCCTTGGTAAAGACTGAAACTATTTGACTCCCAATGCAATGTTTTGGCCTCACACGTTTTTGGGAATTGCAAAAATGACTAAGAAAATTTTGGACCATATAATCCACAGCTTTAATTTGCCATGTAACTATTTAATCACTAAATAATCTTGTCACTCTTAAAGCATGTTGGTATTAAAGAAATCACTCAGATAAGGATAAATATTCTTTCTAGCAAATGCAAGCAATGTTATAATTTTTCAAAGATATAGAGGAAAATTATTTTAGATAAAATATAATAGCTAGCTCTTAATCTGATCCAAAACTTTAACAGGAACAGCATATATTTTGGAAATGTCATTTTCATTTAATAATTATTAAATGTAAACCAAAATGTACAAAAAGTAGAAGATAAACTAGATGAATTATTGTTGTTAGTGGCCATCAAGTTGGACCTGATTCATAGCGATCACTCCTTGAGTTTCTGAGGCAGTATCACTATGGAAGTAGATTGCCCAACCTTCCTTCTGAGGAGTGGCTGGTGGATTTGAACCACCAGCCTTCTGGTTAGCAGTCAAGTGCCCTAGGCACTACGCTACCAGAGCTCCTCCATTAGTCATTAGATGGATGCAAATCTAAACAACAATGAGATACCATCTTGCCCCAGCACTAGTACAAATTTCAAAAAGATAGAAAATAACAAATGCTGACAAGGATACAGAGATATTGGGACTCTCATACACTGATGGTGGGACTGTCAAATGATACAAGCACTGTGGAAAGCAGTATGGTGATTCCTTAAAAAGTTGGAATTAGAAATACCATTTGACCCAGCCATTCTATTACTAAGTAAATATCCTAAAGAAGTGAGAGCCAGAACAAGAGCAGATACATGCACAACCATATTCAACATAGCACTACTTACAAGAGCCAAAAGATAGAGACAAACTAGGTGCCCATCAACAGAATGGATAACCAAACATACACATAACGGAATACTATACAACCCAAAAGAATAACATAGGATCTGCAAAATACCACATAACATGGATGAACTTGGAGGACATTATGCTGAGTGAAGTAAGTCAACCACAGAAGGTCAAATATTGTATTAATATGTTATTGTAAAAAGTCAAGGAAAGGTTTATATATGGAAGAAATTTTCTTTGTTGTTCGCTAGGGGTGGAAGGGGAGGGGAGGGAACACTGTTAGATAGGTAGAGAATTAAGTTTTATTTTCTAAAACAACTAATAAATAAAATAAATAATATTTATTGAGACAGTCTTAGCAGAATAATACTTAGGAATGTATGTTATCCTTAGCATTTAAGGATCACATTATCCCAGGTAAGTGATAGCAAGTTTTCTTTTACATATAAATGTCCACGGTGACGGCCAGGAGCTTGTTTCTTTAAAAGGTTGCTCTATGATATTACTTAGACTATACCTACATACTACCACTTCCAGAGCTCTCTTTCCCTGTACTGCTTTATACCATATATGATGTATATCATTCAACACTCTATCATATGCTGTCTCATATTAATCAGTGTCTATTGTGCATGGAAGGAGACTTGGCAGCGTAGTGCCTAAAGCACTTGACTGCTAACCAGAAGACTGGTGGTTCAAACCCACCAGCCATTCCTCAGAAGGAAAGTTGAGCAATCTACTTCTATAGTGATACCACCTCAGAAACCCAAGAAGGGGTTGCTATGAGTCGGATCTGACTGATGGCAAATAACAACAACAACAACAACAATATTGTGCATAGACACGAGCTCCAGTAGCATAGTACCTAAGGCCCTTGACTGCTAACCAGTTCAAACCCACCAGCCAGTCACTCCTCGGAAGGAAGTTTACGCAATCTACTTTCGTAGTGATACTATCTGGGAAAGCCAAGGAGGGGTAGCTATGAGCAGGGCTGACTCGACAGCACATAACAACATTGTCCATAGGCAATACTGTCTTTTAAGATCAAATGCTCTGTCAGAAGTAAAAGCAGTATTCTTCCTCCTCCATAGAGTGGTACTCAGCAAGAGCTCACTAAATATGTGCTGATTGACCAACCCCAGGTAATAACTTGAAAGAAATATTCTCACAGAAACCTATCATATTTCTTTAAGGTAGGACATACATTTTCTACTTTTTTTTTTTTTTACTTAAAAAAAATTTCTAATGCATTTTGGCTGAAGGCCAAAGTAAAGGCAGTCTTGGGTAAGATAGGGAGGAGAGGAGAATACAAAATAATACAATAGCCAAGAGTAAAATTAAAATAATTGAACATTATTTATCACTTTTTCCATGTATAGTATCTTCTGGACCTTTTTTTTTTTTTCCCCTAGAAGTGTAATGGAACAGCTGGCAATCACAAATAATGCTCTGTTTGTTGAGGATGAGAGAGAGCTTTTACCCTGAGAATCCAAGAGTTCATGAATTTTAGACATCAAAGGATGTGGGAAATGGTCTAGGGAAATTCTGCAGAGCTAAATCACAGCTATGAAAATTCTCCTAAGACCCTTCTGATGTGGCCACGGTAATAACCACTCAGATAATAAGTAAAGTTCACATTTTTATTAAATAGTCTTCTGGAAAACATTAAAGATGTTGAGCTCACTTTTTGGTACTGAGATTACAACAGTTATAGACAATAATTAATTAATACCCCCCTTTGAAAAGTCTATAAACATCAGTGGACATAAATTGTTTACCAGGAAAATACTTAAAGGATCATGGGCTTCATACTTTAGTGTGAAGTTTAGATATATGAACAGCTTCATTTTCTTTAGGAAGCTAATAATCTTCAATAGACCAATAACCAAAAATCATCAATAGTTCTGTCCAAATGTCATTGACTGTGCATGGACTACACTAGTGAGAAATGTCAAGACTGCTTATGTGTAATGCACATATATGTGCTTTATATGCAATGTAAACTTTGTACAAATTATATACATATAATTACATGAATTTTGCAATATAAATAAATAAAATATATTAAAGTAATGTTTTGTATAAAATTATATAAGTTCAAACATGTTTAACATTCCCTAATAGATGTGCCTGCAGTTTGTAAAAATTACTTTGGAAATTATTTTCCTAAAAGCATTATTAAAAGTCAATATTTAAAATCTAGACATTTGCCATATTTTCTGTATAACAATGAAATGCATTTTCTTTACATTTTGATATATAAAAAAATCTCAAATGTAAACATCTTTAGAATTTACAGTTAGCATAAATGTAGCACCTAATTTGGAATTTTAAAGAGTAGACTATCATCTTTCTTCTGTTTAAAAGTTAAGATCTTTTTATAGTCTGGTATTTTAAAGAGCACAAAATGCATTTTCATGACACTATGGTTCTTTTCAGATTAAACTACAAACTACAAGAAAGTAGGAAAAAACTATATTATGAAGTGCATTCACTCTTGCCAGCATTCACAGTATTTCTTTGTTTTTGTTGACAAGTACAGTTTAATTTGTTTTGTAAACTACAGTTTTAAGTAAATGTGCAATTTCGTACGTCCTACCATATTGGAGCTCTGGTAGCATAGTGCCTAAGGCACTTGACTGCTAACCAGAAGGCTAGCGGTTCATACGCACCAGCCACTCTTCGGAAGAAACATTGGGCAATCTACTTCATAGTGATACTGCCTCTGCAACCCAAGGAGGGGTCGCTATGAGTCGGGGCTGACTCAATGGCACACAACAACAACAACAACAACCATATTGGAGAAGCAGTACTCCAAATATTATTCCATGTAAGATGTTGCAAACTACATTTCATTGTTTTTAACCTTTTTCTTCTTGGATAACTTCTAGTCAATTCCTTATTCTCAGTTAAATTCTAACCAATTTCCAATTCCTAGCACAAGACTCCTTTCTCCTTGAATCCATTGAGACTTTCTATTAAAAAAAATGAGTCCCCACTTCTCTGAACTCAGAGCTTTCACTGAATAAACATTCACTTAACAATTTGTTGAATAAACATCACAAACTGTGACTTCAACAATATTTAATTCTACACACTCCATTAAGTTCATCTTGCATATTATTATCTCAAGATGTATACAATAGATTATTATTCTATTATTAAAGATTATGTTTTTGTTGGTCTGATGCAGTGTTTTTTCTGTAGCAGGAGTTCTTTCAGAATTTGTTAAGTTGTAGTCACAGAATATATTTTACTCTATGAAGGACTAAATTACTGTATATATTTATATGAATTGATAAATCATCAATTACATATTATAGAGAATTCTTTTGTAGTAATACCAAACACG